CTTGTCTTGTCTTGTCTTGTCGTGTCTTGTCTTGTCTTGTCTTGTCTTGTCTTGTCTTGTCTTGTCTTGTCTGTCGATCTATCGATCTAATGTTTATTTTTGTGTATATTTATTTTGCAGGATGGGTATTACAGGACACAGTTTAGTATGGCTAAATTAAGAGAGGGAAATATAAGAAATCAGCCTTTTTCACACCAAAAATAAATGATTGTGTTAAATATGTCAGACTGATAGGATGTAGATGAACATTTATTAGAGGTTGACCTTTTGTAGGCACATATTCAGTAGGCTATTGGAAGGAAAGAAACTAAAATTTTAATATGTATTAATCTTTGTTTCTATGCCATATGCTGAATATCATCTGCTGTTCTCAATTATATTGTATAATTATTCAGATGTGCCCAATGCAAATCGAAGCCAAATTTTGTGGTGGTCAGACTGCTTTGCCTGCACCCGTCCTTCCTGTGCTAATGCACCCTGGATGTCCAGAGGTTTTATTTGACTAGCACACATACCACCCAAACACATTACGAGGAGATGGAGTCCTGAGAAAGACTGCACCTCATTCACAAGACAAATATAGCTCGCCTGACATTCACATGCACCATGCGCCTTAATTGGAATATGGCTGTTTAACATGCAGCAGATAACACAGTCAGCATAAGCGTGCTGCTGTTGATGAACTTCAGTGCTCTCTGTTAATTTTGCTGAAAACATTCGAACACCTCCAGCGGTCCTTGCCTTGAGCCAAACGTCTTCTCGTTTCCTTAGCAACCCAGCAGTCGGTTTCCTCTGATAGTGAGAATACTTACATGACCCTGACATTTTACCCACAGATCCGACGGATTAAAACCTCGGATAATCAGGAGAACCTACAGTATTCTGTTTGTGAATCCAAACATCTCATAAACCATGAAAGCTGTTATGGGTATTAAATAATAAATCACAATGCATCCATATAGACCGATACAAAAGTGATTTAATTGGACAAACACACAACTATAATTCCTTTTGAAGAAGATTAATGGTACATTTTCATGTCCTCATCCTAATATACTGGAGAAAATACTGAACTGACTATTTTTTAAAAGATGGAGTCATGTTAATTAGTTTTCTTTAAAGGGGTCATATGATGCGATTTCAATTTTTCCTTTCTCTTTGGAGTGTTACAAGCTCTTGGTGCATAAAGAAGATCTGTAAAGTTGCAAAGACTAAAGTCTCAAATCCAAAGAGATATTCTTTATAAAAGTTAAGAGTCAACCACGCCTACCTAAAACGGCTTGTTCTAACACGCCCCCACATGTCTACCTCACGATGTGGGAAGATTTGCATAACGCCGCCCAAATGTTCACACAAATAAAGAAGTAACTTTTATTCTCGCTGCCATGTCGTGAAGGCACTGTGTGTTTCGTTGTGAAAGCGAAACTACTTTGTTTGGTCTTCCAAAAGAGGAC